TAATATATCATGCCTGATGAAAATGCAAACCTTCCAAACCAAAAGCAACGGCTTTCTGCGAAGCAGTATTTGGCAGTCTCAAGATTATCATCCTTCCAGGGATTAATGTGAACTCGTATAGTAGTGTTCTCTTTGACCGAACCTTAAGAAATAGCGAGCTTCCTGGGAAATTCGGACAGAGTTTTCTGATCCTACGATCGTTTTCACAGCGTAAGCAGCTCGAAGGAAACAGAGGGTACCTTCGAATATTGAGAAATTATTCTTAAAGTCCGAACTGTCGACACAAGCGAAAATTCGAGTTTCAGAAAGTAGTTGAGAAGAGGTGGATGCGATCGCTGGAACAAGAACTTTATTGGCCTGACGTTTAGGACTTACGCTCGAGCCCACCCGTAGGGGCAGTATCGAATACGGGTTATTCATAAACAGGATAATGTAGTATTTATGGGATACACTTGCTATGCTAATGTACACCTATTAAAATTAACGGTTCCACCCTTTATCGAGGATATTTGTCCCCTCGAGAGGATTTTTGCTTCATCGAACTTGAGTGTGCGGCAGGATCTCGTCGGATAAGGAGCGACCTGAGAGTTAGCGTCATTTCTCTTCACTGCTGCCGCGTGTTTGGCGATTCGCGTACGGAGCAGTCCTCCTGTTTATTCGACGTATTTGCTTAGTCCAAAACTGCACCGGATCCGATAAATATCTCAACACGTTCCATACTGTGGCAGTAGGTCTTTTAGTCTCTTTATCTGACGCCGAATGGCTTCCTCCGGTCTGCATGTGACTCCAAATACAAGTGGTGCGAGAAGGCGGTTCACGGCCCGCGAGACGTTTTTTACCTACGGAATCGCTTGCCAAATTTGAACTTATTGCAGATCGTCTTCAGATCAAGAGAATGGGAAGGTTTTTCCTGCGCAATAATGTGACATTTTCGAAGAATACGATCAGTGTTTAGTGTATGGAGTGGGAGGACTATAGTTAACTTTCTTACGCTAATAATTCGATACAGCAAGAGGAGAAATATTAATGAAAAGCGTTCTCTTGGTGCGGGATGATGGATAGCGTGTTCATGTAGAGGGGAGTAGCATGTCTTTACCATGATTCAGGAGCGAGTGGTCGACGAGATGTGACCCCGAGGAACTCTCGGCAGACATTGAAATCTCGAGTTCTGCTGTAAGAAAAGTTGTGTCTGGTTAATCGAAACGGGTTATCATGCCTCTTTGTCAGTTGGTGTTAATGAATGGGCTTAGAAGCCGATTTTCTAATGTGACCCTAGTGTATGTCATCACGGACACCGTATGGAATTTTGCAGACAATTTCCTTTTTATCCACATTATACATCCTATCCTTAGGTTGTTCAGGCTTGGTGTCGAAGGTTTTTATTATCTCACACAAAATCTCAGACTACGTTTGGTGAAATATTGCGCTTTAAGTTTATTACACCAGGGTCGACAGAGCTTGCACAAGGGAAGGCTTACGAATGTGCACAGTTCAACTCAACTCGAGATGTGCCTTCATGAGCAATGCAGACCAACAAATTTCTGGTTCCATCGATTGCATCTTCTTCTCTTCGACCAAAAAATAAGTTCCTGGCTGAGCATGCGGTTGTTATCCTCTTAGTCTTTAAGCAGAGTCAGGTGTCGGTGTTTTTTGAACACCGGCACCGTCTTCCAAAATACACACTTCTCGGTATTCGAGATGTCCCCGCATGCCGCAGAGATTGTGGATGCGCAAACTAAAGGATTTAGAAAGGCATTTAAAGTGATGCGAACAGTGGACTTCGATGACAGCCATCCAGTCAGCTGCAATTAGAGTTAGAAATTGAGACGAAGAGCTGGTTTAAATGAAGGACGAACAACTTCGTTCTTTAGGAGCATCTGAGAGGCTTTCAGCCATCTTTTGATGCAGATAGCAGTTTGGGTTCCACACAGACCAGAGACAAATATTCGGTGTCAAAAGATGGGGTCGAAAGACCGTACACCAGAGCAAGAAAAGGTTTAAGTCGTTTACAGAACCCGATGCAGCTGTCGGCCATCAGCTAGGTCGGAAAAACAGAGAGAAACTCCGAGACGTGGAGGGCTGAACACGCATCTGCAGTGAAGGATAATGAGGACAACTGTCAAGTAGCGATTGACTTTGAGAGACTGGCCACACCCCCAAGTTGAGCGAAACTCAAACCCCTGCGAGAAGCGATGACCGTGTGGGTCGTGAGAGGCGGGCTTCCACCCGCAGTCGGTCACCAAACTTAGCGGTCATCCTAATCTTCTATTCAACACGTACACTCTGCTAGTTTATAGGAATCGGCCACGAGGAGAGGGTTCGCTCAGACAAATTCTTTTAATGACTGTAAAGGTGGGATTAATTGTCAAGCCATCACGAAAACTGATGCTGAAATCGTGGTAATCAACCACCTGGTGCACTATGAGCAGCAGTAATGAATGCAAAATAGCTAGTTTATGTGATGCCGCAGCAAAAACATACAATGAATATTACACTGCGGCTGCGTCCACCAGCACTTTCTCGGATTGACTCGAATGAAGATATGATACATCAGACGAAAAAACTTCTCGATCCAACCATTTACTCGTATTTTTCTCCTTGCATAAATTGGTTATAACCTGTTTTTCCATATAGCCAAAACTTCGTAATGAGCTCGTCCTATCCGATACCTTTCGTGAGTGTTCGTCCTGGCCAAATGCGGGAATCAAGTTCTCTTTGATGTAATGACCAGAGTAAAGTATATCATATATTTCAGCTCACAGTCTTTTTTGCCCGATGAAATTTTAACTTTCCTCCGCGAAAATGAGATCAATGAAGATATTTCAAATGAAGAGGATGCAATATTGCTGCCGACTGACGTTGAAAGAACAACCACCTCAACGAACCGCGTCGATTACAACGGAAAGACACAAGCTCTCCTCGACAATCAACAGTTCTTCAAGACCACGTCTTCCTTACTGGCCAAATCAACGATTGGCGAGCTAATTGGACCCTTAAACCGACATAGGTGGCACAATGTAACCTTGTTAGACGAGTGCTGGCGGGCGAATCCAGCTGCCATGACATTGATTAGGTTCTGCGGTTTACCCAACATCCACAAGTCTAACGTTCCCCTTCACCCAACTGGTGCGTTGCGGGACAGCCCCGAGAACAATCATAGATGGTCCAAACAGTAAGCTTTCTTTGAGAGAGCTCAAGGGCCTCCATCAATTTAACCTCCCTATTCATCACCGGCATCAGGAGATAAGCTGTCCTATCTGACAAAATTGTGGCATAATTCGACGTAGTCTCACTGTCCCGGCGGACCTGGAGCGCGCTGCTCTACGCAAAGGTCCGGAAAAAAAGTACGACGGGACGATGGGCCCTTAAAAACCGAGCATCTAATGAAACTCTTTCCTATCCATCAAAGGGATTTTCCACTTTCAGTGGTTAAACATGTGAACAAATCGAAGGGACGCCAGCGCATTTTCCAATATTCAACCTATCTGCCGAATTTATTTTAAAAGTGCTGGAAGCGGTCACCCTCAATTACTATGAACCTGCGTTTTGCATCGATACGTGGATGGCACTTTCGCTATTAGAGGGGACGACATGCTATCCAGCCCTCAGGGCCTGCTAAGCGACATCTTCTAACACCCAGATCACAAGAGAGGAGTGGAAGGCCGAAAGATTACCCTACCTGGACGTTTTCGTCATGCGCAAAGCCAACAAGGAATCTAGCACTACGGTGTACAGGAAGGCGACTAACACAACCCATGTCCTCAGCCATCACAGCAATCACCTGTTTGATGCTCAAATGCGGCATTTTGGGGGCACTCCTGCAAATGGAAAAACGGTACTGCAGCGAATCAGAAGGATGACTACAAGAATCACAGCATCTACGGGATCACTTATCAGAGAACGGTTGTCCCAAAAGCTTCATCACCAGCTGCCTCCTTATGCGCTCACGAAGAACAAACGGGAAGAGCCAACAAACTCTGGCACTGGCCGCATCAAATCAACGGGACGCACTGCCGCATAATTTGGCGTGGGTATTGTCTATCGTCCGACAACTGCCATGCGTACTAAATTCATGCAGATGGAGGACCCACTGAATGCAGGTGAGCAGTCGGGAGTAGTTTATTAAATCACATGTCACAGCTGCCTCTGCTATTATACAAGTCGGACAACACGACAACCCATCTCGAATATTGGAGCACAAACTGGCTGTTGGGACAGGTGACTCACCATCTCAAGTTGCTTCTCGCACTCAGGAGGAAGGCGACGAGTTCGACTTCGCGAGCACGCTAATGGTGTCACGAGTTGGCTGTAAGACGGGACAGGAACTGCTGGAAGCCGAGGCGTTTGACATCACTTCCATAAAAAAAACACGTCAATGCAACCCGTTCGTTCTCGCACACTATGCTCGCGCGGCCAAGTAACGGATCTCAGTTTCCAACCAACGACGCACGCCGTCACGACGTCGTAAGTCGATGTGAGCCCAGGCCAACCAAGGAGACTAACACCTTCCTCGCTGCTCGACTACAAAACACCCAGTCGTTGTCGCACTCTCAAAGTCGCTGACGTTCGATTCCTGTAGGAGTCAGAAGACCTAAGCTAGTAAATATGCTGCTACAAGGACTACAAAATAGCGAAGGGCTGCAAGGAAATCGTTTCTGATCCATCAGCTATGAATAAATCATCAGTGAAGAAATGTTTGCTGGCACAACCTGGTAAAGCAGGTTCTTTTAATATACACAAAGGGCTAGACCAGAAGGCTGGGTACCAAACAAATGAATAAGGAGACCGTTGGCAGAATGATATTACGGACAAAGACATGGGAGACTGGAATGGCCATTTCTGGCTTATTAGCCGTCGTCAGCCAGTCAGACCGTTCTTGGAAATGAAAGAAACGAAGCCTGTTATTAGAGCGAGCGAGGTCGTTCGGTGAGATTCAGTCAGTGCTGACCATTAAATAATCTCATTGGCGGAAAGTGGAGGTTCAGCAATCTGAGTGCCTCTTATAAACTGCGGAGAGGAGGGTAAGGAGAAAGAACATACTGTTTTTATAAAAACAGCACAATTATTTCGGTTTTCACATGACATAGCATTAGCACCAATTAAATAGGTAAGATGGTCGTGTCAATTTAAATTTCATCGGAAGCCTGCAGATTTAACTTCTGAAAGTCAACGCCGTTAATGCTTCAAAAAAAAACATTTCTGATAGTCAGTGCTTTCAAATTAACCGCTATACTCTCAGCGATACTGAGAGTACTCTTGTCATTCAGAGTTCATTAAAAAGACTGATTCATGTTTATGAATCCTGTGTTCTTACCGAATGCCAGTGTTACAGCCCCAATAAGGTAAGCAACTCGGAACTTTTTTGAGTGGCCTTCACACGCCTGGACAAACGGTGCTGTGGGTGATCAAAACCCCTTGTCAGTCATTTAGTGCACCTTGCCACCCTGGATGTAGAGACTCGTATTAGTTTCACTCTATCAGCCTGTTTACGCATGACTGTCCTCAGCCCATAAACAGAACATGGTTGGTGTTAGATCTAATGACCTGGGCAGTCGAAAAATGTTGCTGAGCACGGTCAAGGGTACCAGAACGTGCATTTCTGACTTGCCGGCAGTAATCAGCCAATACTAATTCAACCCCAGACTCTGACCCATTCGAGATGCGGACTCGAGGGCAGCGTGCGTATACCATATGAGTACAACGATCTCACCACCTCATCTACCGTGCTCGCTCGGTTGTTTAAGATCGGGGATTTTCAGTAGCTTGGGATTGACGTGTGCAGATCTATTTGTTCTGTAGAACAGAAATGAACAACTTTATCTTCCATCGCAGATCAGGGTATTGAGACCTTCTAAGCTGTTTCGTGGCAAAAAAGCAACGAAAAGTGGATAAAATTATCATAAATAATGTCCCCTTGTGACGTAGCTTGGAGATATCGACATTTCCAGTGAGATTGGTTTCTAGCGGTTGGCGGGAGATGAACGACTAGTCAGGTCTACAGTTTTATTCAAAAAACAACTGCATTTGTCTTCTACTTGATAAAATTTTCTTCTTTCATTGTACCAGAAGAGTGATCAGCGTTGGCATTATGAAGTGTGGAGTAGTGAGGTCCCTTAGAGGTCACCGTCGCCATATATACCGATACTGACTCATAGTTCCCCTAAACCGCAACTCTAGTAATCTTCTGATGGTTTGGTTCGGCAACTGTGTCAACTCTTGCTTCGTAAGATCTCACGGCGTGCAAACAGACGATCCTGACAATAACGATTACCTGTAGAGTAGGTGACGTAGGTCATGAAATATCGTGACCGAAATCCACATGAGCGTTCCGCATTTCACTTTCTGACCTGATGTAAACCACAAAAGTCTTTTACACATGCGGAAGATGTCCTTAACTTAATTTCTCGACGTTAATGCTTGAAATTTTGGGCGGAGCTCAGTGTTAGTTAACATTCAGTCAATCTTCTACACTAATAGCTGGTCTAACAGCAGTTGCACGTGAATACGTAGTTCGCTATTAAGAAGCATAACTCAAACTATAAAGATTTACTTTACCGCTGGAAGCCTGAAGATTGATTTTTTCTAGTCACTTGATGATGCAAGATGTGCAGAAACATATTCGTCTCAGAAAGGCAGGTGTTTTCTACATTTCCAAATTAAATTTGCAATTACGTGTCTCATTTACATTAGAAAGTAGCAATAACACCACCGGAAATTCCTTTCTATTCTTCCTTTTTGCTAATTTTTAGACATATACTATTTATTCTGAACGTCCCTCGACATGTAACCCTGACCTTCCTTGCGGAATCAAACTTAGTCCTTTTCCCTACGAGTAACTGCATTTTTTCGATGCAAAACCGAGGAAAAATATCCAATTCTTGAATCACCATCATCAAATATCAAGCAGATGACTAACTGCCATGCCGACCGCTGCAAAAATTTTTGGAAAATATTTACCTGGCAAACATCCGGAAAGGTTTTTGAAGGTTGTTTTGCTTATACAGTTTTATCTGCTCGGTGATTTGCACGAAAGGAATTTACACTTATTTAACTTGTGCATTCGATCGTTCAGCGTTTCCACTTTCCTTGAAAAGATTGCATTATCGATCAATTTAGTACTTCATTTGCAATGTCCTTTAACTAAAGGCCATTCTGCCCAACGGAGAGCTTTGGTCAATGCATGTTTGACTGTTCCCGATTTATCAGAAATTCTTCTTGAATTTTCCCATATTTCGTTAGTTACATTATCTCCAGTATCTAGGGTTCAGCTACCGGGACTCTCGTAGTATTGACTCTTATTTTTTGCATCAAAAGTGGTATACAAATTGTTTTTTAAAAAGTATACAGTAAAAGATGATGCTGCTGCACATCCCCAGCTTCTTTTTAATGATGAAACTTACATCTTAGAGTTCGTAAAATTTCGCAAGGAGCATTATTAAACGGACATGTGCGGTCCTGTATGCATGGACATCGCACGGTCGTAAGAAACTTTTAATTAGAAACTTTTAAAACCTAAATGTACACTTTCTTCGAGTTTAAAATATAAAGTCAATGTGATTTTCTACCAAATGAGTAAAAAAGGTATATTTTGGGCATATTATCTATAAGCTATATTTGAATTTATAAGACCATCGAAAATCGATGGGAAAATGCACGCTAATTAAGTAGTCATTTTTTAACGAGTATGGTTTTTACAGGAGGTCAAAAAGTTGGGCATCCAAACGACAACCTCCTATAGAGTCCGAGATGCTATAGGATTATGCTGCATGCTAATCAATATTAAAACCTCACCTAAGTAATCCTTCCTAATCGAAAACGCATTTCAGAATTTCGGCTAAAATTTCATGAGATCGGTCAAGCATTGTATTTAAGAGAACCACCAGTGATTGTAAAATGTCTGCTTCCCTGAGGCATGGCAACGAAAAACTTATTGAAAACAGGCATGTACAGCAGAATTTATTAGGGCCAATAAATTTCGTGCCGGCTTTTCAACGACAGCCCGTCTCTGCATAACATAGGAAACGAATGAAAGCGCACAGCAGTATGAATTTGTACAAAATGGCAGTGCATAAGAGCAAGGTCAAGGTTCAAGGCAATGAATAATCAGATAAGACGTCCACCTAAGCATCATATAGGAAAGAGGGAGACATTTCGTCCAAATTCATATTGCTGTGCGCTTTCATTCGTTACCTATGTTATGCAGAGACAGGCTGCAGTTGAAAAGCCGTCACGAAATTTATTGGCTCCAATAAATTCTGCTGTACATGCTTGTTTTCAATTCATACCCGGGAAAAAAATGCTTCGAAAGACTTATTGTCCTAGGCGTTTTGAAGCAAGCCTCTATTCAGCGAAGGGTCAAACGGGTTGAGCACGGAAATGGAAACTCCTCGTCCCTCTAGTACAGCCGGCTTTATGCTAAATTCCAATGGAGATAGGGTTAAGGTTGAGGCTAAGATAAGGTTAGGCTTAGTGTTAGGATCAGAACAGAGGGATAGGTACCCTTGGGCATGGGCGCCTGTATAATAGGGGGAAAGTTTCTATTCCCGTGTCCTACCGTCAAATGAGTTGGTGTTGACGAAGACTGCCCGAGTTTGCCGCTAGCACTTGCCGCAGCCTAACACGAAAGCCAGATTGTGAAAATACATGGAAGCCTGAATTACTTCCGGTAGACAAGGTAAGCAGTGGTAGTGTTTAAATATCACAATATGGTGCCATCCAATCATTAAAAATTAGGCATGGAGGAAGTACAAGTAAGGGAACTAAAAATCTCAAATTTTACAACTAAAGTGTATACCAGAAAACATACAGAGAACGCTGTGGACCCAATGATGGGCCAAACCCCTCGCAGCTGCGTCATCCAGCAGAAGAATATTGGCGATACACGTGTCTGAGTCCTTAGCCAGCACCTGTACTGTCAGTATGGTAAATCACGTAATGAGTATAAAGGTGTTACGGGGTCAAAGGACCGAGCACTACCAGGGCAACTGTGGGCATATAGCATAACCAACCTCGTTCCGCAAATGCGTTTTTATCACTTAGGATAAAAAAAAATTCCAGTAACTGTACGAAGACAAAGGGGAAATCGGCTGACTACACTGATGTTACCGGACTATGCCTCTGAGTGATTTACTTATTAGTGTACCTCTTGTTCGCAGTTCGGATAGTCACAGTGAGCATCGGTGTCCATTTAAAAGCATAGCATATCCCACTTGATTGTGTTTAAACAACAAGTAAATTTGCTGTAATCTAATCAAAATAAGATGTCTACTTTTCAGATAATGAAGTTCAACTTGTCAAAAAGTGCCATAACCACTATCACTATGTGTAGATGAGCGGATGACATGCCTGACTTCTAGATCTGACAAACTTACAACGTTTAAAGTAATAACTTGCTGTCGCGTCCTCTGTATGGTCGTGATATGCCTTCAAAATCATTTATTCCTCTTCTGTAATTAACTGCTACCTCATATTCTACAAGTATCGTTTCATCGAGGTTTTTTATAATATCCCGGCAGAAAAGCAACTAATGAAAACGTTTCTCATCTGGGTATTATGAGTAAGTTCACAGATAACTTTTCTAGATTGAATCTTAAATTATGCTTGTCGAACAAAGTCTTTCTTAAAAAATATGACAATTGAAATATAAGGTTTTTTTGAAGGACGATAGTTTGCCCACGCGCCGAATAACACTAAACCTCCGTTGTCTGCCTACTCGCACATAATGTCTGCTATGCAAGACGAATACTGTCAAGGAGTCTTTCAGATGTACAGAGATCACATGCCCACATAAGGCCCGAATGTGTCCTCTTAGGACAGCAAGAAGGATTAAGTGTTTGGTATAATATTGTGTTTAATTGCCTTTCCTTTTCAAATCGTAAAAGGTCCCTACTTGGGACAGAGGAATTGCATGAGCTCGTCGATGTTTAGTTCGCCGTCACCGTCCTTGTCATGCAGATTAATGAACTCCTGCACATCGGCCTCCTTTATTCCCGATCCGTGGAGGGCGGTGAGGAATTCTTTTGTGCTCACCGTGCCCGACTTGTCGGCGTCAAGGCCATCCAGCAGGGCTTTGACCTCACTGCGGCTGAAGCAAAGTAGTTAATGGGCGCTGAAATGTTACCTGGGCATTTTGGGGTTCGTAATCTCGTTTGGCGACCTCGCGACCGTTGTATTTATACTTTTTCATACTCAGTAGTGTTGGCTATGCTCGTGCCAATCGCTAATTGGTCAGCTAACAGAAACATCGTGTCATTCTCTATCCACTCTTCCATTTTGTACGAAATAGTAAATACGGAATGTCATCGTAAGACTTTTCCACCTCCAGTGATGGATCGTTTGTTTATACGAGACCGCAGCGTCCTCTGTCAAACATTACTCGGCATTCCACGCTGGCCCCTAATAGGGGAATCCAGAATTTGGATTCACATTAGTAGATTTTTGCAAACCTTCTGTGCTTGGTAATATAACGTCATTCATTCTACTGAAAAAAAAAACAGTTAAGATGGAGCAGCAACCTTATTAAATAGTGATCGTTTGTTTGTTCATAAACGTTATATTTTATGAATTTGGTGAATTTTTGTTCAAATTTGAGGCAAGTTTTTGAAAACGAACGCACTGGTGGGTCAGTTCAGAATGCTCACGCTTATACTAAGGCGACTTAATATGCACATATATTTCCACCATTTAATGGGCTCAGAAATCAAGAGCATTCAAAATAATAACTTCTAAAACAATGTCAAGGAATACTTATACCAGTTCATGTTATAATTGAAAAATCAATTCAGCAATGACAAAGGAGGCTGAAATGGCCATTTTGGCTTATTAGACAGTAACACGATCGGTGAGGGACCCTCTACGATTGTATATTGCCGATTGCCACCGACAGGACAACGAGCCCGTAACTCAGTCGGCAGAGGCGTTGGGCCTATAGCCAACAGGTCGCTGGGTCGAGCCCCAGGTGTTCCACACTTCGAGGTTGGATATGACTGGCTGACGATGACTGGTAAGCCAGAAATGGCCATTCCAATCTTCCTCTTCTTTGTTAGCAATGTCACTCGGCCTATATTATGCGCCGCTGTGCGTCTACTGAGTGGGCCCGATAGAGAGCCCCAAGGCACAACGGAAAGAGTGAGTTCCGTAGCACGATCGGTGAGCGTCCTCTACCATTAATTCGACAATTATTTTGAAAAACCACCGTAAATGCTAGCGGAGTAGTTGTTTAAGTGGTCATACATGAGCCAGTGATAAATAAATTAACTGGTAGACTAGAGGCAATGCCATCTGGTATTAATATATAATACAGAAATTCAGTTTAATGCGATTGAATTCGATTGAAAAGTTCTGGTTTGGCGTGTCAGTAATGACTGCCTGTTACTTCTCCCTTATTCACCAAGCAAAAGGACAATTATTAGCAGACAAACATAGAACATAACGGCAAATTTCACCTGCTTTCATTCCGTCCTAGAAAAAGTTGACGCAAATGGAAAAAACCAGAAGCCGAAATTTACCCTTATAATTTCCGATAGAATGACCTGATTTAAGAATTTGCTTGGAACGAGGGTAGAGTTCACACAAATACAGAACTTTCGAAACGCATACGAAGAATCGAAATCGTAGCCGCACTAGTAAAATTTGCCCTGATAATTGTCTTTTACTAAAAACGATGATATTTAAATGAACCTGGAGAAAATGTTTGCCTTCTAAACTCTCAAACGATAAGCAGTTACAAAATTCAACATAAAAGTCTCGCAGTTATGCTCGTCATTCGTACACAGAAATTAGGTATTGTCGGGGAACGCATCGTTATTATATTGCTATGGTATTAACGCCGATCCAGTCGACCCAGGATGATCTAACCTCTGGTTGCGGTAGTCTTTACTAGCTGTTAAGACGATGAGGTAAATCTCGATAAGATATAACTGCGAGTAATAGCAAACAGTAATTAGAAATACGTTTCAGTATGAAGTAACGGCAGAAATTCCAAAATACTATAGCCACTACAAGTCTTCAGAAAGGATATGCGTGATACCTGTGCAAAAATGTAAAGTTTTAGCGTGCAGGTGATCTGTTTTCTAAAGGAGATTCTGTTGCCTGTTTTTGTCCCCGGAAGATATTTTCAACTTTCAGATGACTGGTTATCGAGTATGCGTCATTTCCGACAAATGTCTATCAAGCCACACATTCATGTTGTGAATGATAAAAGAAATTCGACTAAAGTTCTTTTTTTACACAAGTGGGCGTGGGAATATGGGGGAGAAAAGGAGACAGTGAGTAAGAAGATAATGATAGCTAGGGAGAGCCGTGTGGGAGGGGTGGAGAGGCGGAGGGCGCGAACAATTGTATGCGGTTAATCGACCTATAGCCGTGGTAGACACGGAGCTTGTAAGAGGTTCTTCTTCCGGCTTGTCTAACTTGATTGCAACCGCTCCTGCTGTTACTGGTGAATGCTGATCCAGTAACTTAGGGTAGTTGGGTGGGACCTTATAAACCACATGGGATGCCTTGTTCGGGTCCACACGATGCCCGGAATCAACGTGATACGCGGGAATGGCACTGCTCATGCATTTTATCTTTCCTTTTTCAGCCATAACGGAAGCCGTTCCCGTGCTCTTTCGGATAGGCGTCGACTCGTGCGGCCGCTAAAACTTGCTCCACGGGAGTAAGTGATGGAGTAGATGTACCTGGAGGTGGTCTGAATTCTCCATGTGAAACAGGGTTGGTCGTAAGTAATACCTGAACGCTTGCTACTAAGATGGATTACGAAACAGATTGACCAATGCATCTTCAAGGGAGTTCACTAGCCGCATCCCTTTGGAAGGCGAATTGGGGTAACAGTTTCCCATTCTGTCATAAGTGTGGTGGGTTTTAGTGATCTCTCGACGACATCAACGGATGCGTCAGAATATCTGTTCTCGCGATGCGGTTTCTCGATCTTTCTGAGCTTCTCATCGATTCTCCCCTTTGAGCCGAACAACAAACTGGATTGCGTCCCTGTTAAAAGAGGTACATAACCGCAGAAGTTTGTACAGACTAAGTTTTCTTCTGATAGAGGCTACTTCGAAAGTTACCGTCAGATCTTTCTTTTGGAAGAAAGCTCGAAAAAGGGGCGAACCTGCTGTTTACACCATCAGCATAGACTTAGTTTACGAATGTGACTGATTAACGGTATCTTCGATGGTAATAGCGCTAGTTTCTGTAATGGTGATTGCAAAGGTGACATCAGCATGGCGACCATAATGCCCTAGCCCCTTGAATCGGTCGCATATCTGAAATTTCTCCAGCTTGCTCATGAATAAATTGGCTAAGAGGGGACCAAGAATCGAACCCATAGCAGCTCCGGCTATTTGTCTATATAGTTGGCTGTCAAAAATGAATTACACATATTGTGGAGATCGTAGTAATAGTTCATTGAGTGCGTTCGTCGGAATTTCTATTTCCCGTTAATTTGTCAACAGCAATTCGTAGATGTAATCGGCTGTCTCGGTGACCGGGACGTTTGTAACCAGTGATGAGATATCTACCGGAAACATTAGCATCCCGTCTAGGTTCAGGTCATTGACGTCGTCGATAAATATAAAGTGGTGCTACCTGATACCGTACAGGCCTGAGATTCTCTGCTAACCACTTCGGTATTGCGTGGTGCGGAGCGTTACGCATGCCCAAAATTTGACGGACTAGCAGGCTCTCTTTGTAGATCTTTGTTAAATCTTACAGTCAAGTGATGTGTGCAGACTGGTCGGAGGTATTCCAGGTCATGTTTGCTTTTGAAATCCCCTGCGCGGGGTCTTCTTAGACTGTCAGTCATTCATGCCTCTACTTCATCCGTGCAATCTGTTTCCCTGCCCTCTTCTCTGAATTTCTTCTAGTGTGACAGTGTAGACTGGTTTCGTTACGACGTCCGATTGGTTCACTGCAACGACGTCTGTTCCTTTGTCGGGCCTAGGTCCCAAGACATCTTTCTTCTCGCAGTGCCGTTTATCAGCAATCCCAAGTTATTGACTCCTTTTTTTAGGTATCGATAATTACAATTTACTGGTATTAGGTTGAGGCACTGGATACTGTCTGCGAATGCGGGCTCTACATCGCAGGTTCGGTTCCATAGTTTCTCCAACTGGGTTTATAACTCTAAATGATTGAATTGTCGACGGGGCATGCGAAACCTAGGATCAAGGGGTAATGCTTTACGCGATGTTTTATGAAGTTTCATATAGGAATGAGTATGTACGCACCGACCTGGATATTATTATAGCCTTGATTGAGGTTCCATTTTGTGCACACTTTGTAGAAGTTAGAACCTCTTTGTCTCTCCACGTTTTCCTTCCGTGGACCAAGCATAGTTGCCTACTTCTTATCTTTTACCCTTCGTCAGTGCGACGAATGGTTGTTCGCTGAGACGCGTGACGCTCTACTTCTTCCATTTTTTGCACGGGTGTTTCCAGTTAATTGTCGGCGTATCATCACAAGGTTTCGATGGTAATGACTGCGACTACGCTTCAATGCCTTCCAGTAGTCGCTTTAATACTCGTTTCTGTCGACTCGATAAACTTGGTCAGCACATGAACCTCCATAAGCTTGGCATTGAAAAGTAGGCACGCACTAAATGCCTCTGACTCCGCAGAATCTTTGGACTGTTTTAAAGTTGCCAAAAGTCTCATGGAAAGATTTAGAGCATGTGCAGCGCCATTCCCGCGCATCTTGTGGATTCAGGGCTTCGCGTGGACACAAACAATGGCTCCCATGTGATATATAAGGTTCCACCTACGTAAACTAAGCCACTGGATCGGTGTCTGTTAGGAACAACAGAAGCGGATGCATCAGGTTACGCAATTCGGTTTTATTCAATTACTTACACCCTCCCCCACCCCACCTCCCTCACATGGCTCTCCCTAGTCTTCACCGTCTCTTAACTCACTGCTTCCTCTTCCATCTTCCCACATTACCCAACCGACTTGTGTGAAAAAAAGAACATTAATCGAATTTTTTAGTCACTAACACTCCGTTTAAATATTGGTGCACTGGCAAGATGGAACTTGTTATATCCCCAATTAGTATGACGCCAGTTCTGCGCGGAATAGAAGACAGACAGGATGGGAGAGAACAGATTTACTGCGTCTGTCACCCTGTGTACA